TATAAATCTAAAACTTTTGGTACTGTACACATTGCTACTGAAGCTTGTGTAGTCATAATAAATTCTTGCCATAAAACAATATTTCCTGTATCTTTGTTAACTAGGACTTCAAGTTGCTTTGAAAATTCATCAGCAGGCAGAATTTCTCCCATGAAAGATAATTTTAATTTTAATAAATTTGTACATTCTATGTTTTTTTCCAAAGCTTTTTCAACTATAGATAATTTTTTTAATGTTGTTACTCTATGAACATCCTTTGCAGCTTGATATTGTTGAAAATATCCTAATGTATCCTGCAAATGTGAAATAAAATATTTATGTAAGAAGTCTTAATAATTCTTAGTACATACAAACATAATATACCTGAAATTCTATATATTCAATCCATAATTGAATATCATTTGGATCATTTGTCAATTTTTCATTATATTCTTTAGTTTTAGCTTTCTGCAATTCTTCTAATTTAATGTGCCATGAAGGAAGAGATTGCTCTTCTTTTGATGAATTAGTAATAGATTCTTTTCTGATAATAGTATCTTTCTTTTTATTTTTTTCTATATAATCAATGTTTTTTACATAATATCTTTCATAACTATCTCTTTTTGATTTTTTATAAGGAAGAAAACCAAGGGAATTTATTTTAATGTCATAATACGGTTTGATACTAGAGTAAAGTGTATTTATATTATTATTTCCCTTGTCTCTGTACTTATCTTCAAAATACACATTTTCTACATCTTTCTCATATTCACGTTCCCCATATGCATATTTTTTTTTATCCTTTTTCTTTTTCTTTATATGTTTAGATGTTCTTCTTTCTCCACATATAGGCTTCTGATTCTTTAAAGCAGTAGTATGTTTAGTTTCTTGTTTATGTAAATAAGAAGTTTCATTTGTAGTTTCATCCGAAGATTCAGAAGAAAAGTTGACAAGATTGTTAGGTGAAATTTGTTCTAAGTAACTGGAATTGTATAACCAACTAGTCTCATTTTCTATAATTAAAAATAATCATCATATTATAACCAATTTTATAATTAACATTGATATATAAAGTATTTAATTAACCTTTTGTAAAATTCTTCGATTCACTAGATATCGAAGATTTATTCGATTCACTTGAATAAGCTGGAAATAAAGACATGTCTCCTGAAATTTATTCCGCTAATAGCATAGATAACATTTCATTTCTTGATAGGTTACACGTACCGTATAACTGATTATGTACAAACTGTCAAACTTCGTATGTGTGAAAGATTCTAGAAAATATATGCAATGGTTATATAAAGTGTACCATGATTGGTTGAAATGAACAAAGGCGGCAAAGTAATTCGAATCATATCGTAGGATTAATATTTGTTATCACGATGATAGATTTCGTCAAATTGAATGCTATTGAAGATGTTTTCTACTGTTCCGAGGATAAATACTTGCATAGCTAGAACATGTAACATAGTTCTAATGAAATCACCAAAGAGATAACGTGAATACGTCGCCCATCTTGGAATTTCTGGAATTATATAATTTTTTTATTCCTTATGTAGGAAATTAAAATATTTTCTACTAAACATAGAGGTTATAGATCATTGTACTTTTTGAGAAGATATATTACTTAAATGTTTCGTAAAATTAATACTGTGAAATCGATCCTCGGTGCTGTGTATTCATCCACTGAAGCATTTGTGTCATCTAATGTTTCACGTAGAGTGAGTATGTTTTTATTTGTGGAAGAAACATATTTTTGTTCATGGATAGTACATATATATTTTTTATGATTATTGCTTTATATTATAAGAAATGAAATGGTGAAAAAATTGCATCACTATATTTCCTATTTTATTATAGGTGCAGCGATTTAGAAAATTGTTAAATAAAACAGATAACAATGATATACTCACAGACTCATTTGGAAGACGTCATACATATTTACGTATTTCTATTACTGAGCGTTGTAATCTTCGATGTGAGTATTCATCAAATCATATTCACTGCTTTAATTGAAATGTTTTTATGAGATGTTACATTTATTACAGGTTTATATTGTATGCCGGCAGAAGGAGTTAAGTTGACAAAAAATGATGGTATTTTAAAAACAGATGAAATAATTAAAATAGCTGAATTATTTGTAAATGAAGGTGTAAATAAGATACGTTTAACTGGTGGTGAACCAACTGTTAGGAAAGACATTGTGGATATTATTGGTAAATATTCTCATATTCAATATTTATCACATATTGAACTTTCTTATTGAGTAAAAATAATTATTATAGCTGGATTAAAACAATTGCCTAATCTAAAACAAGTTGCAATTACTACTAATGGATTGACATTAACGCGCCAGTTACCATCACTTCAATACGCTGGGTTAGATGCAATAAATATTTCATTAGATACTTTAAGAGAAAATCGTTTTGAACAATTTACCCGTAGGAAGGGATGGTCTAGAGTTATGACTGCAATTGATCTTGCTATTCAATTAGGTTACAATCCAGTAAAGGTGAGAAAGAATTAGTTTGTATCTATTTATTATTAAAGCTATATATAAAAATTTATATAAAATAAATCATAGATAAATTGTGTGGTAATGAAAGGTTCTAATGATGATGAGATAATTGATTTTGTTAATCTAACAAAAGATCGTCCAATTGATGTACGTTTTATTGAGTATATGCCTTTCCAAGGTAATGAGTGGAAAGAGAATAAAATGGTTTCTTTCAAGGCCATGAAAGATCTTATTAGAGATACATATCCTGATTTGCAACGTCTTCCAAATGAGTACAATGATACATCTAAAGTGTGTAATTTAAAAGATTATATAAGTTCATTGTTTAATTTATATACCTGTTGGTAAAAGCATAATTTATCTTTTTGTAATAGGCATACTTTGTACCTGGATTTACAGGACAAGTTGGATTTATTACATCAATGAGTGACCATTTTTGTAACTCGTGTAATCGGTTAAGAATAACAGCAGATGGAAATTTAAAAGTCTGTTTATTTGAGGGAAAAGGGGAAGTATCTCTTCGAGATGCGTTACGTAGCGGAGCGTCTAACGATGTTTTAAAAGAAATGATTGGAGAAGCAGTATGGCGTAAAAAGAAGCAACATGCAGGTATTAAGTTTTATCTTTAGTCCACATGATTGATGTAGGATTAAATGATGAAAGATTATCTTGTCATAAAATATTAATCTAGGTATAAAGCGATAACGTTTATATGTTTTCGACAATGTATGTGTTTCAGGAATGTTGAATCTATCCCGCATGGAAAACAGGCCAATGATTCTGATTGGGGGTTAATCTATTATTACGGGAATTTTAAGTTAATATAAAATAATATATCGATGCTATTCACAAACGTTATCGCTCAATGTTTTTGCTATTAATAATGCAGTTCCAAAACTACTATACGTTTAATTTTACATTTGTACTTACAGTTACAAAGAAATATGTACACCTGAGAAGATATAAAAATTTCCAAAATAATATACCGCGACAGTATTTAATGGATTACGTGAGACTACAGTTTAAAAATGGTACAAATGTAAGAGTATTTTCGTCTCTGTCGCATGTGGATCAAAGTGGCAAAGCAAGTATGGTAGACGTTGGTTCGAAAAACGAAACTAAACGCATCGCAATAGCAAGAGGAATTGTACAAGTTAATTCAACAATAAGCAAATTGATAGCTGAAAATAATGTAAAAAAAGGCGATGTATTGTCCGTAGCACAATTAGCGGGTATCATGGCAGCAAAACGTACTTCTGATTTAATACCATTATGTCATCCACTTCCGTTATCTTATGCAAATGTACTTTTGCGTTTAAACGAAGAATTACATTGCATAGAGATCACAGCGGAAGTTAGGTGTACTGGTAAAACTGGTGTAGAGATGGAAGCTTTAACAGCTGTGAGTATTGCGGCTTTAACAATTTATGATATGTGCAAATACGCGGCGTCTCCGAAATCGATGAAAATATCCGATATCGAATTGGTTTCAAAAACTGGTGGTACAAAAGGTGATTTCTTTAGGAATTAGATTTCTATAGTGTATCTTGAATATACATAATATATATATATAAAATTTTATTCTGCTCAGTAGTATGTTATCATTGAATTATTGGATATTTTTATACGTTTATATTCTATTAGTAAAGGAGTGTCGTTGTAATATGTAAATTTTATCATGTTTTCTATTATAAAAAATTTATTCTAGTATGTAAGTATATACGTACCTGTTAATGTAAAAATAAGAAAATTCAGACTATATTTTATTACCTAATATGTATGTAATATTTATGTTGACTGAAAGTCATATGGTATTCCTTTTTCTTTATTGGAAGAATTTAAAATGTATCTTTATACATGTATGTATATAATTATCTTTCATGTTGACATTTGCACATTGAACGGTTGCTGCCTGTATTTCTGTTAAACAATTGTTAAATCATTGAAGTGAGATATATTATTTTTAATCCTATAAAATATTTTTGATTCAATATTATATCCCTTATTCTCCTGAATTTTTAAGGATTTTCTAGGATATGCGATTTTTAAACGTATATAATTTTGGTAGAAGCTAAACTCTTCTCATGATTAAAGGATAAATAAACGTTTTAGATAGAAATTATAAGAATGGATCGAGTTGTTGGCGCAATCGCAAATATCGGGAGCATCGCGAGGCGCCACTGCACCCTGATTTTAGCTTTTTCGTTTCCTCGAGCAGGAGCAGCTTTCAGTATTTGGAACGCTATCGAAGCGCGCTGTTCTCGAAGCTGTTCCGTTGTTGAATCTCCGATGATCGAGCGTCGGAAAGTAGCCAAGCTAACAAGTTTTCTTTACATTTTCCATTTTGCATTGTTTCTTGAATAAAGACGAGGATATTAAACGTCGCGCCTTTTTCTATGAATAAACCCACTGTTATCATCGAGACAAGAAGTTTATTTTAAACTTGTTTAAGATTATCTTCTCATTGAACATACCTGCAGCTCTTTTTCTTCTTTTCTTCTTTGATCGAGATCTTTGTTACCTTAACTATTTAGATTATAAAATTATTAAAAAAAACATTATAAGATTACAGTCATCGTTATCTTGTGATGGAATTGAAGCATTTATGAATTATGTGGGTGAAAATTTAGTTCATTTATTACTTGCAAGAAGTAAAAGCGTCGGTTACATGACTACCTCGAAGGAATTCTTCAGGAGATGGAGGACGAAGAATTGTAATGATCGAGTGATGACCGACAGATCATCGATGGTTCTTGGAGACTCGTTAAAACTTTAGGGAAACAGAAAGGGCGACGGATGAAGATGAAAGAGTCTCGTACGTAAAAAAATGGCACCGTTCCATGGCATGGCCCTTATATTGCTTGGAATCGGATACCTGTTACACGCAGAACCGCCTTCCGGTCACCGGAACTTAGGTACAATTAGTCTCAGTGTACAAATTAAAAAAACACAAATCTTCGTTGATTGCAGATTGCTATGAATCAATAGTAATAATTAATATGATCGATGATAGATTTGATAAATTAAAGAATTATATATTATTATGATCATTAATATTTTCATTCAATTTTTACAATCTCTTTTACATTAGAATCATACTTAATTATGCGCGTTACAATCAACGAGGCAACGAAGGATACTTTATTGGTAAAAAATCAACGAAAAGATGATTCTTTGATTATTCGGTATTTAAACATTTTTCTTGATGAAAAGAATTGCCTGTGGGATTTATTAAGCAAATACGTTCCAGTATGTAAAAATTGGCTAGCGTCAGACGCTTTAATCTTTGGGTCGTTTCATTTAAAAAGCTGGATATAGAAGTTCGTAAACGAAAGGGCAAAGCTTTCCGATGGTTCAAGCGTGATACCTGAATTTTAGCGGTGCAACGATTCGATGGGGAAAAGCCCGATAAAGGGGAACGCTCGCAACGAGGAACGAAGAGGACGTATTTTTATAAAGACTCATCCCAAAAAGTGACCACCGTTGTTGGACAAACTGTTGTGCTGTTGTGTCGTGTTAAGAACTTGGGGAACAGAACCGTGAGTTTCACGTTTCTTTGAATAGTAGTGTCACATTGCACGCTTCGCAATTACGTTAGAAACTTTAGAAATAATAGCGAATCAAATTCGAAGAAAACAACGTTACTTCGTGAATAAACGTTTAGTTAGATTTTCACGAGATTACGTTGCTCTATATACACACCGTAAGATATACTTTTGTTCGAAGTTCTAAAAAAGAAAGAAAGTAAAAAAAATTCTTTCTCTCGTATGTTTCGAAGAAAATCAATCAAAATTAATCGAATATTTAAAAGAAACTCAAATAGAATTAATTATAATCTTCATTTCGACTCGTAATAATTAGTAGATTATTGCAAGAGCAATGTTACTGTTACTTTGCGAATTAGGATCACGTGCTATTTGGAATTACGCCGAGATAGTCGAAACTATATTTCCGTATATACTCGGAACGTAGGATGTACTAGAAATTTAGGATACGATGCTCTGGTAAATATTTAAGTTACAAGAGCCGTTTAAGATCGTATACCGTAGAAATTCCAGTAATCGTAAATCGCGAGGAGCAACTGCCAGAGCAATATGAAATTCTCGATTGAAATCTTTTAAATGGATCAAGATGAAAAGAGAGAATATGTAAATGTTTAACCGGTTAATTAATGGAAGAAGGTATCGTAGTTCTGGTACGTTAACTGGAATGTAAAGTGACGCTTTCGCGCAACGTGTTCTTGAATTTACCAATGCTTTCCTAATTTCCTTGGTTAATGGATAAACGATTAGCGCGTTGCGGTATAAATGCTTTTCTCTTCAAGCTTTTTTTTGCGCTACAACCATTTACCTACTTCTTATCGCGAGAAATTCTTTCTTTTTCCAAGCGATCTTAACTCGTTTATATTGCCTTTGAACGCAGTCAGTTAGTTTTCCAATAACGAATTTGTCAGATCGTATTGAAACGCGAGGAAAACAGGAAGCGTAACTCGACAGCGTGGAACGTGACGACGTGCATATTTCACGGGGGTAGAGGCATGTAAAAGGGATTCAATATCACGGCTAGTTAACGGCCAGCAAAATATTCCATATCTCATTCGGTATTTGTCCCAGGTGTCATGGATTCGAAAAAGGGACTTACACATCTTAACATCCATGTCAGTGACTTATACGAGCGACGCAAGATTTACGATAGTCGGCAATCCGGAGCGCGACGACTGGAATCTGCGAATAGATTACGTGCAACCACGGGATGCCGGCATTTACGAGTGTCAAGTTAATACAGAACCCAAGATATATAGAGCGGTTACTTTGAAAGTTTTGGGTGAGTTTCTGTCGCTTCTTCGGACCCCCTTACTCAATATCCATGCTAGACGCTTAGGTTCATTTTCCATGGAAAATGTTCTATTTGGGACGAGCTGTTCGTCCGTTAGTTCGTTCGTTCGTTCGCTCGTTTGGCGAGCAGAAAATTTAACACTCGCCCACGGTTTCGTTGAGCGAAACTTTTCAAGGGATCAGAGACACGGAAGCCGCCTACTTTGCGTAATCTTGTACAGCTTGAATCGCATTTTCACGAGACCGTGTTCTAATTAACGTTTAAATCTTTTTCTCCTGTAACAAATATTGCCTTGCTTAAAGCGTTCAGTGTCGTCGCGCGAGCACGGCTATCCAACCTTTTGCTTCGACTTCTAGTTATCCTACTTATCGACTAAAATAACGGCACAGCTATGAATAAATTTTACTTACTCGCGAGTATCTTTTATTCATTGATTCTTTATTCATGTACGTTATCCGGCCCGGACTTTCAGTTAAGTCTTGTCGTGAATTTCTAAAGCAGGATCTCCGCTCCGGATCTATACACAAACTCACCGACCAGCGAACCCCTTAATTTGTCATGCGTCAAACAGTTGGTCGACTCGTATTTTCCGCTCCTCTTCATCGTCTTGATATATTAGATGTTCAGGCAAAGATCACGGGGCCCGAAGAGATTTACGTGAAGAGGGGCAGTACGATCAGCTTGACCTGCATCGTGGACGTGCAAGATATTCCTCCGAGTAACGTGACTTGGTACCATGCCGGTGCGGTGATCGATTTCGATGGTCCAAGGTGCGTCCCATCTTAATATCAAATTTCGTTTATTCTTCTTTTTGTTGTTTGTCGAGCGCGATCAAAGAGAGAAGAAAGGAAAGAAATAAATTGCGAAGAAAATAAAGGCGGTTGTAATTGCACGACCGTCTCGATTACGTGGCGAATCGAGTCGGTAGCTGCGAAAGCAAACATCGGTCAAAACACGAGACAGCATCGATATTAGATCGGTTATCGGAATTCGTGCGTAATAACGTCTTTACCTTTGGCAGGGGTGGCGTTTCCCTGGAAACGGAGAAAGGTAAGAACGGGACCACTAGCAAGCTGCTAATAACGCGTGCTCAGCTCGATGACAGCGGGAATTACACGTGCGTCTCGAGCAAAGTTGCTCCGGCAAATGTGATGGTTCACGTGTTGAACGGTGAGGATAAAATATATAAAATACGCTCGATTAAATCTCGAAGGGGAGGCCTCTCCTCGGGATAAACAAAAATACCTGCTTCGTTCTATCAAGCCCTCGAGATTTCGTTGAGGCATCAAAGCTTTGTCGACGTACTTTAAGAACATTTCACGAAAGGCCCTTATCGAAAGGTTTACCGGAGGAAATTTCACCGGAGTACTTTCGATCGCTTCGTTGCATGCAAAAGTTCGCGAATGAACGAATAGTTAGTATATGAACAAGGATAAACGTGGATAAAGGAAAGGAAAGTGGAAAAGGAAAGAACGCTCGTGTTAAGGAGAAATTTACGAATTCTACGTCGTTTTTAAGGACGTGTAATTCCTTGAACAGCGTTGGATGACGATTGTTGTAACTCACGTAACTCGTTACAGTTTTCTCGTTAGTCGGTAACGAACAAATCGGAAACGCAGGGGAATCGCGCGGGACGAAAAAATAATCGCGAATTGAAATTAAACTAGCAGCTATTCTCGTTATGTAAATTTCATTTGCCGGTGGAATTTTCGAAATTTCCACGAAATTTTCTCTCCTTTCTCCCGCTGTCCTGGTTCTACGCGATGGATCGCTGCGACAGATCAAACTCGGTGAACGGACTTTCTTTCTAGGTGAACATCCTGCGGCGATGCAGCACGGCGGTACCGGGAACATCAACAGGAGAGTGATTTTATTCAGCCTGGTCCTACTGGTGGACACGATATTTCGGTGAGCGAGCTCTTCTCCGTCTGCCGCTCTTTTGTCTGTCAAGACGTCGCGTCCCGTCGACCACATCCCCGACTTTCGTTGGACGACACACATCGAGAGAAGAGGTCCCGGGTCCTGTGATTTACGAGCTTCGACGTTTATCGCGCGAACTGAATTTTCTATGAATCGAGAACCCAGCGAACCTCGACTCCGAAATATTATATCATCGAGAGATGACTCGTTACGTTGCGCGTCGTGCTGCGAATTTCCTAACTCGTTCGCTGCGCTCCAACACCTTATCGATGTGCACCGAACTCTGTCCTCACGCCTGACTGTAACATTCCTGTAGAATAATAAATACTTCGCGATTCGTATGATTACGAGTTAAAAAAAAAAAAGAGAGAAACAGGACAAACGAACGATTTGTTAATAGGCACAATATATCTGTTAATCAACACTGGCTCGTTTCGATTATTCTAGCGATCTGTCGGCGAGTTAAATCGAACCTGTGTCGCCTACCGATCGCTCTTATTTTTCATCCTTCACGAACGAATGGAAAGAGAATGGCAACGACAGGATGGTTTTTGAAGTTTTAAGTTAATTTCCGTGTAACGTTAACGCATCGACGTGGTCCGGTCGATTAACCGGCTTATCGGTATTAAATCCGGACCACGTTTTCCGATAATGGAAGGGACAGTTCTGAAGTCCAGCTATGCGTACTGTGCCCGTGCACACGTCCCTCGGGGAGACACTGCGAACGCTCACCGGTCTCATTTTATGCAAATCACACAGAAGCATCCGTTAGGTAGCTGCCGCGAAATGGAGACGAGAACACATTGCCAATGTAAATTCATGGGAAGCCGATGCTCTTGTCTCTTCGCCTGCGGTGCGTGCTCCTCTCTGACCACGATCGCCGGAATTTCCGAGTAGAAATTGCCGTTACCACGGATACCGGAAACGTCGCCCGTCTCCTTTTAACCTTACGCCTTCAACTCCAACATCTTGTATAAGATTAACGACTCGTCGATTGTCGCTTCGTACGGATTCCCTTCGACGCTAGCCGAGCTTGTCCACGCTCCAACAGGTAAGATCCTTCGATCGAAACGTTTCTTTTCTTTCTTTGTAATATGATAAATCACGAGAGGAAGATACGATAAGTATATATTCGTTGACTTTCTCATCTTAATTTCATTTCGCGATTAATCAAGAGAATTTTCATTTGACGCGATTGGGGACGATGACGAGCCGATGGGCTAAAAAATGAAAGTCTTTTAAAGATAGCTGTTAAGTCGACGAAGTCTCGATAATCAAAGGTGTAATCGCTATGTTAGGAATATTTGGGAATTTTCAAGACGATTCGAAATGTCCAAAGTCGCAGTTCGAATTGTTCGTAATTTTACAATCAAGAAACGTCTGATCGAGAATAGAAATAGATAATATCCGAATAATTTCAAGCGTAAGTATCATTTTTTTTCTTTTACTTAGCGTGATGGATTGCGCAGAGGATTCAGGAACCAACGAAGAGCGCTTCGTTTAACCGTTTGGTGCAGATTCCACTTGCGATTATTAAGACAAATAACTTCGCTCCGTAATCCCTCTCGCCTCTTATCTTATTTACAGAAGCATTTAAATTCGCGTATAACGGTCTCTTCGCTCGGGCTGAAAATCTCACGCGAATGTGCTCGGTGTATAAAGTGACGGAGAATGCTTTTTTACATTCCTTTCCCTTCAAGCGTTGTAAAAAGGTGCAAACTGAATCAGGCTGAACAGAGGAGATTAACGAATAGTACGTTTCTATTTAACGCTAGAACTACCAGAATGGCCGGATAAGCAATTTTTTATTATTACTATTTATTACTCCATCTATACGGTGTAGTGTGTGGATTTAACAATTGCACGGGAGCGGACAGCTTAAATCCTAAACCTTGAAGCAAATTGTAAGTAAGTATTACCCTATCTCACTGTCAAGCTAAACCGATTTAAAATCTTTCCTAGCAATTTTATCGGCTCATAGCGTTTCCTCGAGGTTGCGAATTATTTTCGATAGAGTATACGGAAAATGTCCTGTTCAAAGTAATCGATCGATAATTGGTCATGGCAATTTTATGAATTTATAACGGTGCGTTGTTAGGATTTTTCAGTGGTTTTCGATAAAGGATATAAAGATCCGTATATTGTCATTCGCATCATTTCATACATTTTTCATTTTAATTTCTTTGATATCGAACGAGTCTTATATTTTAATCGTCAATAAGTTTAGCGATAATCGGCCGTCGTTTAAATTATGCACGAACGAAACGGCAACTCGAAGCGATCGATGGTCGTTTGACTATCAGCTACGTGGAACAATGCTGCGCGTGCAATTTTGTGATAGCACTCTTTCGCTTTGCGCGCGGACAAATGTTCGAAGCTCGACTTTCCTTCGATCGATCATAAATTCTCGCGAAACGATTCGTTTAGCATTTACTTTGAACTACAAACGTGAACACGTTCCAGACTAAATCTAGGAAACGTTTGTCAAACGAACGATATTTTTATCCGAGCGTTTCACGAATTCCACGTTTAACGAGAATTCGAATGTCGTTTGTTATGGAAAAGTTAAGTCCCGTGCAGATTTAGAGCGGCACCTGTAAGGTCGGTAGACGACCGGAGTTTTAGTAAATTTGTTATACGAGAAGGTAGTTGTACAAGTCTACGGGCAACTTTCTTCCTACGGTATCTAACGACTTGCCAGCTCCAAGTTAATGAGCTCGAACAAGGCGACCGTAATTTTCAGAGCACTCTGTGCCACTTTGTTCTGGCTCGTCGGCAGCATTACGAATTACCAATCGATGAAAGTATCTTAGCAATTAACACTCTGTGAGATTCAACGGGCCAGACAGAGCCTGGAAACTTGCACGTTTACAGTTAGCAAGTTCCTTAGAAAATCGATAAGAACCGGTCGCACGGCCGTTGCTCGTCCGTTTTCTTATTCTTAGATTCTTTCCCCATTGTAGAGAATCCTATAGTTTTCATTGCGGATAGGATCAGCAATGGGTGTCACGTAATCGGCGAGAATGCAAGTTGAATTATACGAGGAATGCACTGTACACGCAAATATCGACGGTTTTATCGAGAGAAGACTCGCGCGTGTCTCGAACTCTTATAACCCACGGCCCATCTCCCTTATTCCCGAGAACTCGCAATAAAGCCGGCTGGCATAAATCAACTATGAATTTTATCGATGAAAAATCGAAGTTCACGGCTCCTTCTACCATTTATTCGCGTACCGCGTTGCATTCGAATCGACAGGTTTGCCTTTAAGAAAGATAAGGCGCCTGCCGATGCTCCTGCATTCTCGGCTTTCTTCCCTATCGTTTATCTTCCGAATATTCAATACCTTTACGATTAATAGCGATGCATTCACCATACCTGTAACGACTTCTCAATATTTTCGACATAAAACGCTACCACTGAGAAGATTCTTCGAGTTCCAACGCCCCGTCGCTAATCGGCTTAATTTCGGCTTTCTTATCCGGAGATTCGTGCGTTTTGTACCGAAAAATTACGTTTGTTACACGCCATAGTAATTCTTGCTACGTCAGAAGGCTTCTCGTCAGCCGATTTTCCGACGCTTACGTTGTTGTTAATTTTCCAACGCGTTGATATTGTTTTAGCATCGATAAGCGGACAGGCTGAAGTTGAGAGAAACTGGATGTTCCTGGGGTTAAGATCGCGAGCAACGATCGCGATAATGCACCCGTATATTACACGAACAGGTAAGAGAATCGAACGGACGAAGAAGAGATAGATACGATTTTCTCTTTCCACTGTGATTCGTCTTCTCGATAATACCCCTCTAAAGAGCACAGGACGAAGAAAATTGAAATAAAATATAAGTAGACGCGAATTTGCCCGAGACTTTCTTTCAAGATTTTCTTCCTTACTAAGCTTCTTATATTCGATATAAATTAAGAGCTGCAGTGCGTTGTTTGCTTTGTGCGAGACTCCTGGCTATAATACGAACGCTCTGTATCTTCATCTTATTGTTTCAGTCTCTCGACCGAGCGAGATCGAGCTACGTTGAAACGTGAATTGCACTGAGTCGTGGGAAATTGAATTTAGACTTTGTATCGAGTCCAGCTATAGGAAATTGTATTTGCGGCAGAATATCCGCGATATAGCGAGGCCCTAAATTAAAGCATCGAGCAGCTGCACCGATTGATGTCATGTCATCCAGGGTCGTACAAAGACTCGTGCTTCATCTAACAGCACTCAATTAAAATCTCGTATTGTTAGTTACGTTTTCGAATTTCTATCAATTCGTTCGTGGAAACCTTGAAAACCACGAACTTCGTCGATATTTATCATTACGATCCATCTTTCAATTTATTACCTGTGAAATTTGTATCTTTTATTTTTCGGACTCTATTCGTTGATCGAAATAAAGCTCGTGAAAAGCTGGTAACTTTTTTTTAAACGCGCCCTAATATTTGCGCGTTTGTTTCCTTCGATGTAAGCTTGTACCGCGATATAGATTCAACTTCATTCCCGCGAACGTTCTTTTGTTCGATCCGCGTCCAGACGACTTTCGAACGTCGTCCTTTTTAATTATATTTTTGGATTATGAATCAGCAACATAGCAAAAATGCCGAAGTTCATGGGTCGAGGTTTCGGCCTTCGAATCCGAATCTACCAAAGATCGACAAACTGAGACAAGTACAATTCAACGAGGTAAAACAATAGGTCGATTAGTAGGAATCGGTAGGTTAATGCTAAATCGTTTAAAAACATCGATGCAGATACAAGACAAGAAGAGGTTGTCGATGAGGTTCTCCGCTTTGCTGAATTCGGCAAGTCGCGTGTTCTATCATAAACGTGGAGATCGATTGAAGGTACGTAAAAGTAATGTATGGAAAACGCGTGGACAGACGCAGTGGTTTAGAAACGAACGACCACGGTCTAATTAACACGATTTGGCGGCACACGATCGATCGAACAATGCAGGTTCCCAGGTATCAAAACACTTATCGGCTCAGCTCATTTAACCCTTTCGATGTCGAAGTGGTCGATAAACTGGTGATGGAGACGATGGAGAGTAAATTATCGCCGGTGACGGCATATCATCCAAATCACATGGCGAAATTGTGCTTGGAGATTGGATCGGATTTGCAAAACGCACTCTGCAAAAAGGATTACGATAGGTAATAATGCTCGACACGTTTACGTTGCTCGCAATAAACGCGGAACGTTCGCGATGCCAACAAATTTCAAACGAGCTTACCTCGAGGTTCGCTCGTAAATTCTTTCGCAACAGCTGCTGTCGCCAAAAATCGTTTCTCTTGTTTTTAATTCGAGATTCGACGCTCGAGAACCGCACAGACAGTAGAATAACCCGGGGTTGAAAGTAACGATCTCACTTTACTGGATTTTGTAGAAGCTGTTGGAGTTAGAAAACGAATCTTCATACCAGCAGTTTAAACGTTTATCTGATATTATTGGAAATACTATCGTAATCGTTTGTTTACACTTTGACCTCGCAGTGCAACTATAATCGTATTTGGAAATATTTTATTTCTTGACTTCGCCCCTTGTTATCTTCGACCCTGGTATATCCTACAGTTGCATCTTTAATGAAAACGCGAAGTTCTAACTTTTAGAAAGCGTCATCATCCATCCTTTGTATTATTTATTTGTATCGTAACATTTATTCTTCCTGTTAAAAGGTATAAATTAGTGACGCAGGTGACTATAGTCCAACGTCTCGATCAAAGCGTACACACGGCGTTCCAGAGCCTCTGGGACGTGGAGCGAGACAATTACTCCTATTATGTTTTCGAAAACAACCACATTTACGCATGGTGTTGCGTGTTCGGCCTATATTACGAGTGAAATTCATCGTCCCGGTTAAATCTCGTTCTGTTACGCGCGGACGCGCGCTCGCGATATTCCCGATATTCGTTGCAATTCCAAACTAATGCTCGCTGCTTTCTTTTTTTTTTTTTTTTTTTGTAACCCGCGTGCTCGCTAGATATCGGTGCAATATCGTTGCATAATGAACGGGGATGTATATCGCGACGTTTACGAGGATTCACGCAGCGCGGGCGCGCACTGTTAAATTTATCGGATTTTTCGCGATCGCGCGTCTGACCGGATGAATCCTTTTTTTATTGGTGAAATAAAAAATTATCGCAAAGCAATTGGTGAGAATGGACGTCGTGAAATAATTTCGGAAACTGTGTCCGATCGGAGAATACAGAGAGTTAACCTGACCCCCCGTAAACCGGCAAGGGTTGGGTTAAATTGTTCGTAAAGGATGGTTGCAAAAAGGTTTCGATCGATTATGAAGTAACCATACAGTATTAATATTTATTAGTTTCGCAACTCCGCCCCTTCCTCCTCCCTGCCCTTCCACCGAACCTGTTCGCTTTTTCAAGGTGATTTATCGAGGAACTTTCGGCCGGCTCGTCTACTCTCCATCGGAATAATAGCCAGCGATTTAAAGTTTCGGAAACATGTCCGACATTTTTATAGATATTCACGGACTTATTGGGACATTGCGGCCAACCGATCTCAGTCCGTTCGACGTTCTACGAGGAAACAAGAAATGACGAATTTGGTTGAACGACTTCCTCCTTGAAAATTCGTAACGTGGATCCGCGTTCAGTTTCGTAGCGGAAGCCAATCGTTGTACGAATACTCGTTTATCTGGAAGCGATAATTAATAGTCGAGCAATTTTTAGAAAATATGTTTGAATGAGTTTGCCTCGGCCTAAGGATCGATCGCGTGAACGAAACATCCAAGTAATATTTTCCGTGTCAAGGTTTCGTGATGTTTGAGTGGAATGGTGGCCTCTTTGGTACCGCAATGGACGAGGAAACGCGATGATTCGAACGTATTCACAGAGTTTTGTTGCAGGTCGTTAAAAGCGATCGTGTATCTATATAGTCTTACCTATGCCGGCAATTTCCGAGCCCGTAGATTTTTCGATAATATGGTTACAAGAAATATAAGCGCCACCTTAATGACCCGGTTGGAAATTACGGGCGAATGTGTGGCGCGTCGCTTGTTAAATTAATGGTGCAATTTCACCATCGTGTTCCCTGACACGACGCGTGCTTGTCGCGGTGCGAAAACTATGGAAAATCGAAGGAAATGTTAGCAACCTGGTGAGCGATCCTTTGTTATTTTATATTGCACGTATTTGTTCGATTTTCATTGTTAATTAGGGGAATCGCCGTCTTAAAATTTCTAATTCTGTAGATACGAGATACGAAATTTCATTAAAAGTATACCTAAATTACGCGAAACTCGTTGAAAATTGGCGCGGGTACCTGTGCGATGTTAATTTCCATCCAAAATTTAATTTCGTTGCATGCCGAGCTTAATTTTTCTATAAAAAAGAAATATTCTGTTTTGCTGGTTTTCTACTTACGTAAAAATTAACTGCTGTCATGCTATTTTTCTTCTTTCCCAGTGAATACGATAGTTTTACAAAGATAAAAAAAAAAGAAATGTAGAACTTACGGTGATCGCTGTAATTTGTCGAATCGTTTCGCTCGACGCGTTGTTCTTTCGTCGCAGCTACGACTTCTACGGTTGCATCTAGATAGATTTAAATTACTTCTCCTTTCGAAGTTATTTCGAGATGGAAAAGAAGAGGAAAACGATTTATTCGCGGCACATTTCGTTTCATTTGCGACGAACTTGGCGTCTATTTCGTTCCGCCAGCGAAAACTCGAGGCTGTGCCACTCGCTAGACGCGTTGCGACGAAGTCGCGAGTGTAACCGCAATAAAAAATATAAAACAAGGCTGCTGAGCGAGGCGCGTGTATCGACACGTACAGGATCACTGGTTGGACAGGAATTTACATTCGTCGAGGAAGCGAGAAAGCGTGAATTCGATCGAGAAGGAGGCGAACGCTAGCGCCGGTGTCGAAGCAAGGGGGAATTCCACTCTGGCTTTTCGACAAGAAAACTTGATCGACGTCAGGCAGCGGGACAATCTATCACCCGGCTAGTTCTGTTACTGGCTTCGACGTAAAATCAATGCCGATTCTCATTTCCATGTAAATTATCTCCGACATAGGTCGCTAGCTAGTCGAAAGCGGCAAAACCGACAGCTGCTGCGTGCGCTCGGCTCTCGCATGTATTTTTCCGCGGCGCGGAAAACTTTTGTTCCGTGTAATCAGATCGGCCATGTCAAAGCTTAACGAAAACGTAATTAAACTTTCCCGGATAAAAAAAAGTTGCTCGGGCCGGGTCTCTCTGTTTACCTTTCCTGGCCGACCTTCTGCTTTAACCACGCGAATCTTTTAATTGTCACGTCATCGGGACAAGATGTAACATAAAAATACTGTCACTCGCTAACGGAGCTGAATTGGTAGTAGACGGCTGTCGACCAACATGGAAGTATCTACGTTCTACGTTTAAGCATCAGATTATCCCAAGACCATTTTTTCGGACATTTAATTATATGCATTATCTTAGTACCTTTTATTTTCCTGTGATACATGTGCCTTTACGACGTGAACATAAAAAAAAAAAGAAAAAGAAAATTAGGAATTAAACGAATAACGATTAATCAGCTAAACTAATCAGAGTTACAATTAGATAGAAATTGTTTTAAGAAAGCGTTTTAAGACACGGTGTTAAAGGCGAAGATCGAAGTTGATTAAATTATTGAGAAAGGATAGAAGAGTATAAGAATCTCGGGTTAAACAAGCATTATTTAATCGCTGCTGTAACTCTGATAGGTAAACAGGAAAAAAGTAAATACTATTCTTAATGCTCCCTTTTTCTTCCCTTCAATCTCTTCGTTTTGCCGTGCTTTCAGTTCTACTTCCCTTTCTTTTCCTTTCTTTTACTTCTTCTTTCTTTCGCTTATGTTTCTTCATTCCCTCTTTCTCTCCTTTTCTTCTCTTCTCCTCCATCTTTTTCTTCTGTATCCTCTTGCCTTTACTCGTCTCGCTTCTTTTCTTCCAATTCATCGATGCCGAATCAATATCGATACGTAATGCTGAATCTACGCTGCTGTTTGCCGATAGTGTCGACACTTTTGCAAATAGCAAGTAGCGCGCGGCGAATTTGTCAGTGAACAGAGAACACTATTCGCTAGGGAAACGATACATGAAAGGCTCTATTCACAACGAGTGTATGTGTGTTTTGCCCGTGAGTATTTGCGGCTCCGTGCATGAACAATTTGCGTAGAGTCCAGGTCAGCGGGGACCTAACATTAGGCTATGGTTACAGCGGCTGCGTGTTCCGACAAATGAAACATTTGAAAACTCGATTTTGGTTATCGAGTACACGGGGCCAGCGAAGAATTCGGAGATCAGAATTCGGAATTGAATCGCAAGCGAATCACCGTTGCGTTCGGCTACAACTTTCCAATATAGTTACCATCGATTCAAAATTCTGTTACGTGTTCTAATCCAATTTTATAGGAGACTGACAGCAGTCGATAGCAAGGAAGTGACAATTTGATCGAAGCTCAGCGACTGAATTACTTTCTGATAAAAACGACTGCTCGCGATCGGGTTTAAATTATATTTGAATTTCTAAAGTTCTGTTCTAAGCGACATCGTTATCGCGACAAACGTACGATAATGTAAACCAAGTTGAATTAAAAGAAGGGAATAACGAAACAGAAGCAGAATGCTAACAGATCGAGTATCGAGAGCGGACACAAGTATAGTTATTTTCCATGAAACTCGAATTACTGTTCTAATAACCATCGACAGAAATTTCAAATACGAATCATCGATTAACTCCTCTCTTTTATCTTTTTTATGGAGCTGTTGAAACAGCGAGGAATGCGTACAAGTGGCAAAAGTGGAAACGCTCCCTTTAACGTTTGAATAATATTTGCATAATGTCTGCGATATAACAGAGTTTCTACAAAAAGGTCTTAGTACTTGTAAACGTGGTTGCATACGTATTTGACGTTCTATTTGTATCTAAACGTAAGTTCGAAACTGCAGTAAAAAGTGGTATATTATTCAGACAGACCGTGCACCAATCTACCTTCTCTTTAAAAAATATCGCTTTATTTTGTCATCGCTTACGCCATTTACTATTTCGACTCTAAATTACTTTCAAATTTTTAACGACAATATCAATCTTTCAAAGACCGTAATATGCGTAAGCACAACGAACTTACGTCTTCTATGGAGCAGCCGGAACAGGAAAGCTGCTCGGAGACGAATAGTTTTCGTCGGTGTAAATGGCAACTATCAGGCAGGATATCTACAAGGAAACGAGACTGGCAATAGATTCGGTTTCTGACAAATGAGATGCGTTTCTGGACGATCGCTCGTTATTATCACGCGAATAGTTGGTCGCGTCGCTTCGATTCCGTGCTCGGCAAACGCTATTTGTCTTTGTCAGATTTGAAACTACGTTGGCCGGTTTTTATTTCGCCGTCCTGCTTCAGCATGGATCGACGCTATTTTCGTATAAACGGGCTTCCGAAATTTCAGGCGTGTTGCAATCATGTCTGTTTCGACGCAACCTTCCAAGTCAGCGATGAGATCTGACATAAAATCAAATATTTCCACAAGAAACGTTTCCCTATTTTGCATTGTCTGTGTTCTATCCCTTTACGAATAGAAAGCAGAAACGTTTCATATATTCGCAGGTATACAGTCAATATTGAAACGGACCAAGGTTTCCTATTGTAAACCGTGTTGGATAATGTTGGACGTCATATTTTCTTCCCTCTAACATCCTCGTTACTAAATGGAGATGAAAATTGCGGATTAAAGGGTACACCGTCCTGATGTCTAAAACGATCGAATTTTTAATTTTTTTGAAGATTCTAAGCGTACGCAACAGTTTATCAAAATTTAAACTCTCAACGAAGTTACAGGGATGAATACGAGAGAGATTTATCACAGTCTTAATCCTTGGGGGCTATCACGGGCGAAATTTCATCTTGTGCGAATTTTGTTTGAACATTATCGTGCTGTAATAATACCATCGGGATGTTATTGTTTCTAACTACTGCAAGCAATTTTTCTATTCTTCGTCCATTGCCGAGAAACAAAATTCCACTTGTTCGACTTTATTAATTTTTTCATTTCGAAGAGATGAGCTGCGGCCAACTTTCGCTAAATTTTCTCTTCCGTTCCCTCCGAAACTATATTTTCCGACCTCGCTGCCGTGAAATTTTCGATCCTCGACTGTTTTAACATAAAATTGAAATGAAAAATCGTGCGTATTCGTGAAAGTTCCTTCATATTCATCTTCGTCATATTCTGAGAATGCAGTTGGCTCGAAAATGACCGGAAGAATACAGCGTGGTTAAAGAAGAAACGAAACATACAGACGAAATCGGCTGTGAAAGATTGTTTTAATG